TTTTTGGTCAGGAGAAGTGACTAAGTGCCAGGTTTTCTTCCAAAGTCATTGCTTGGTATTCAAACTCTTCTGTGAAGGTGATGAACAGTCCAAGTCTCACAGCTTTGGCTGTGTTTGGTAAAGCTGGTTATTTGCCTCTAAATGTCACAGAGCCACCAGGGTGGCTGTAATTGTATGATGGCCATATAATTATATGGTGAACTTTTTTTTAACTGTGAATAAAAATTCTCATCTTACAGATGTGGCAAGGATTCAACATTGTCTTGAGAGCGTAACTTTAATGCTGCTGCTACCCCGTGGGAAGGGTTTTAATGTCTACAATGTCCTATGTCATACAGGAAATTTACTTTTAGTGACATTTTCTTTCCATATGCCCTTTACAAAAAAATGAGGAAGGGACTGGAGGCTGAGGGGTGCTGGGTATCCCAAAGGCTTTGCTGTGGTTCCATTGTTCCTCCTCCCTGCTCTATGCTCAGCAGTGTGACAGTGTCACAGCTGGTGTGGGACAAAGTGCTCTCTCCTGATGCCACAGTTCATCCTCTGTGGCAAAGAACTGACTCCCCTTCTGTGTGGTATTGTAAGGGTACATTCATTAATGTTTCTAAAGCATTCAGAGCTGTGGCAGTGGAGCCTGTGCAGTGTGAAGTGACTTTTTCTGTTCTCTAGTGACTGTAATTTGTATAGTAGATATGCTGTGATTCAGAAGTGAAAAGCAAGTCAATAACAAATCCTTTAAGATTTATAATTTAATTGCTAATAGACTAATTCTGCTGTGTCTTTGTTATGGTTTTTTTTTTTTTTTTACTTGGTTCATTTTTATAACCCAGGAGAAAGATTTAATTTTAGAAGTTTCAGTTGACAAAGACATGCTGGTGCTAGATAGGTATTTCAGGTCATTGTCATTGTATATTCTATTTTTAAATTCAAGTACCAGCCAACTGAAAGAGCACCCTGTGTCTGTGCTGGGCGTTCTGCATCCGTGCTACAGAGCTGAATTCTTCCAAGCCTCAGCACAAGGCCAGCCAGTTTATTTTTTTTTTTTTTCCTGTTTAATGAAGGGAAATGTTCTAGCACCTTTTCATTATCACAGAACTAAAATTGGTCATGAAAACAACCCCCCTCCCTCCAGAGGCCTGCGCAGGCATTGGCCATTGTTAAGATGCTTGCCTATCAACAGCCACTCGAGAAAGAATTTTAAATGGTTTTGTGACGTCAAGGATGCACAAAAAAACAGAGTCTGGTGCCAAATTGCCTCCATCATTGAAAGCACACAGTAAGAAATAGATAACACAGAAATAAATCTTTTGTGCAGTAGCTATCTCACGATATGCTCTAGCAGCTCCAGTAAGTGAGCTTGTCTGGTATAGGAATAGCTGAAGAAGATGAACTTTCAGAGCCTCATTTTCTAATTTATGATTAATGCAAAGCCAGCCTAATCTGTCTGACTTCCTGCTGTCTGGACACAATGTCTGCAGGGAGCTTGGACCTCGCAGAGGGAAACGCCCTGACAAAGTTTCAGCCTGCAAAAGTGAACACTTTAAGTACGGTGGACAAAAAACTGTATCTCTTGAACGAAAAGGTGGACAAACTGTTGCATTTCCAAGAAGACCTGACAGGCAAACTGCAGCGAGTGGACAGAGGCATTGCTGGTGTAGAAAATGGCATGAACAAGCTGACAGTATCCCGAGCAGCTCCTGATGACACAGAGGCATTGCAGAAAGGCCCGAAGGAACCGGACAGCGCTGCCCAGGCTGATGTCCAGAGCATGTGCTCAGAAGTGTTGAATTTGATGAGAGCTGCCCAGCTAGATGCCTCCAAGCATAAGGAGAGGCTGGCAAAGATAGAGAAAAGGGTTGATACCCTGGATAAAGTTATTACATTTGTGGGAGAAGTATTAAAAAATTCTAAAGTAGTGGATTTCATTCTCAAGGGCATTGTGCCCTGGAAGAAGGGGAGTCTGCTGGAAATCCCTGTTGAGGTTGGTTTAGTTTTACTGTTCTTCGTTTCACTTTATGACATAGCAGGTCTTTAGGCTCTCCTGTCAATCTCTTGCATGATGTTGAATTCAAGTTTTCCTTTCTGTATTGCTGGTACAGATAACTGCTGGGACCTTTGAATTGCAAGGCTCTTAATTAAGGCAGGGAGCAAGCTCAAAACAGTGTCTGAGGTTTCTGAAGGGTGCTGGGCAATTGTGTAATGGCTGTGAGAAGGAAATTGCTACTGGAAAGGAAAATTCAGTTTCTACCAGTGCTCAAGGCTCAGCAATGTCACCCAAATCAGTGACTGAATTGAGGCCCTAGTGAAAAGTATGAATAGCATACTAGAAGCTTTTGGGGTTTGTTTGAGAGAAGCTTCTCTTTCCTTGTTTGTTCACACAGCACCAGTTCCTGAGACCTGTGCTGAGTTATGGTCATGTTACTGAGCAGATTCACATCCTTAGACATCTTAGCTGTCTTCAGCTACGTTTTTGTGATGCAGCTGTGACTTCATCGACTCCATTAACATCATTTACTCCTGAAATCAAGTAGTTCTTATGTTTGCAAGTTCCCAGACTTCAGTTCCCAAGCATTTCTTAATTATTGTGGACAGTGAGTGAGGAATAAGCAAGACCAGTACTTAGCTGATATGGTGTTTTAAAGTAGATCAACCTTGTTTTTTAACAGTGACAGACATCTGGAATTAGTTCTAGGTAATGGGAGTTCCCATTTTTCACTGTGGCTTCTACCCCACCATGGGAATGAAAGAGAGGAAAACTGCAAGAGATGGAATATGTTTATTCATTCCAAGTCTCCGTGTATGTAGGGATGTGATTACAGTAAGGAGAATTTAGCTCAAATGAAAATATCCATTGGTATTTTCTACCAAAGCCGTAAAATCCTTTGATGGGAAGATACATCTAACCATTAGAAGAACAGGGCAGTGCTTGATGGCAATGTACCTTTCCAAGCTTTCAGTGCTCTCCTGGTCTCCCTTTCTTAAATGCTAGAGGCTGACAAGCGAGTTGGGCTGTTAGGAGACAGGAATTTATTAAGTGCTTCCATTAGTGTTGAGAACAATAAATCATGCATTAGTTATCAGCCTTAAATCTGAATAGAGATAAAGCTCATACTTGCAGTTCCAGCTTCAGTTCTACAGGTTTTTGGAGAAATGGGAAATTCTGATGTGTTTTGAGTAAAGCTGTGTTACTGCAGTCACTGCCTGCACTCACTGCAAAATGCCTGGAGACAGATACTGTCCTTTGCTTGATTTTGTGGACAGGCAGATAGAGATTGAGGTGAAATGACTTGCTGGTGACAGCCTGGTGGAGTGGGAGGGGGTGGAGGTCTGTGTCCCAGGCTCTAACACGTGCCTTGGTTGGAGAACAGTCAGGGTGTAGTGGGTGAGCATCTTTATGGCAAATTCCTGTTTTGCAATATGACCATCATTGTCCCCCTGTTTTGTCTCTGGTCATGAACACTTTTTGAAATTGGAGCATGAAGTCAGATATAAGACCTTAAGTCTGTGCTTTGATCACAGACTGCTGAGTGATACCTGAACTAGGCTCGAGTTAGATTGTGTGTACGTGACCTGGCTGGGAAACTTGGAGCAAAGCACAGGTGAACCAATTACCCTGTGCTGAGCCAGGGGCTGACTTGGTCTGGTTTTTGCAGCCTGTTGTGTGCCAGCAGCACAGACATGTCCAAAGAGCTGCACAGTGGCAGGGGGAGCGCAGAAAAAGAACTTGCTGCCTGCTTGTTCCTGTTTTCCAGCCTTTGCTGTTTGTAGCAGAGCTCTGCTTATCAGGGGCTGGGCTGGGAGCGGGGAGGTCGTGTTTGCATTTCTGGGTGAAGCTGCTTGTGACAGCATTCCAGGCATGCCTTGGGAATGCTTATGGAAGAAGTTTTGTGAGGTTGGAGTTAACAAAAGACTATTGAGCTTCCTAGGTTCCAAACCTCTAACTTCTTACTTAAAAACACCAGCATTAAACTGTCACTTACCTAAGGCTTTCTTTGCATGTAGGATTGTGCCAGAATAATGTTCACCCTGGTCATTCTTGCAGGTTTGCTTAGAGCTGTAATAAAAAGGGTAATGATTTTTTCCTACTTTTACTCTTTGGGTGCTTTGGTTTTTTTGGAATGGGGAGGTGGGGAGGCTCTGTTCAGTCTGTAGGGCTGGTGCATGAAATCCTTAACTGCTTTTACTAACAGGTGAAGGGCTGATGTGCAGCTGTCTTGTAATCAGTTACCTGCACAAATACTTTGTGTTGCTTATTTGCTTGTACAAATCAGGATAGGAGGCTAGATCATCACTAGATTTTTAACTGTATGCCAGCCACGGGAAATATTATGCCTTTTCCTAATTTTGTGTAATGCTTTTTGCTACATAGAAGTCAGTTGTAATTTGATTTCACATGTATTGCTGTGTGAAGTGTCTAGTGGTCCTGCTACAAAATATCCCTCCTCTCAAAGTAATTTGGAGAGAAGCACTGCTTAAAGATAAAAATCTGCTTCTGTTTTCAATCATCCTAAAGGTGACATGTGAAATGTCAAGTACATACACAAGAGTTGATATAAAACTAGACATTATTTTTTGGTATCACCTCTTACTGTAGACAAATATGTTTTGACAAATATATTTAGAAACATTACTTTTTGTTCTGTCAGCAGCCAAAAAGCAACAGAAATACAGCATCATTTCTTTTTCTACTGTCTCATGTTTCACATGTCATACTTTTTTATCAATGTGAGTAAAGATGACAGGAGGCAAAAACCCTGACAGTGGAAATTTTGGAAAGCAGTGAGCTAATGTATGAATCTGTTATGTTGTTTTAAAAGGATGCCTGCCTGCAAAGGCAGGGAGAGACTGGAGGAAGGAAGTAAACACAGCACTGACTAATAATTCAGAAGAGGTGTAACTGTCCATTTTTCAGAGTCTGAATGCCTACATAGTTGCAGGAACCTAGTGGGAAATAGACACTTTTGGCTGTAACTGTAATTTCTGTGTTCCCCTGTCATTTTTAGGCCAAAGATAAGGGTGAGGAGAGTGGTGCAAAACCTAAGCATGTGCTTAGTAACAGAGGAACCCAGACTGAAAGCAAGAAGCCTCTGGAAGGTATGTATCACTCCAGGCATGCTGCAAGCATTGACTCTAGAATGTGCAGCAGACAAACTGGAAATTAATAGCCTGCTGTTTCCCACTACCTGAATTACTCAGATGTGACTCAGTAACTTTGCCCTCAGTACTGAAGTAGAATTGTTCTCACCACCTTTACAAGATGATTTATCCCCAGGATCAAGCACTGCAAAAAGCTAGAAGACATAGAAATTAAAAGGAACACTTTTGTTTAGCTGAACACCTGAGGTTTTTTGAGTTGGGTTTCAGTGAGCTGAATTCAGAGAGCAGAGCTTGTTTGGAGATACTGTGAAGATAGTGGCCCTATCACATAGCAAACCCAGTAAGTTCTTTTCCATTAATACCTCTGAAGCAGCCCTCCCACTTCCCCCTCTCTGAAAAAGGGACGTGTTGACACTGGAATATCTTTTTTTGATCAGCAAGCTTCACTGGTGTGTCAGGGCCAGATTCCTATTTAGGGTGCATCTGTCAGGGCATTGCCCTGTTGCATCCACTGTCAGTGCCTGTGGAGTTGCAGCAGGGTGAACATGATGTTCAGCAGGCCCTGTCATGCTGCTGTCTTCACAAATTGTCAGTGAATCCTTTGCCTTATGGGCCGTCCCCTTCTTAGCTTCATGGCTTTGGAAGTGATTAAAACAAAGCAAATGGTCACAATTCTGACTCAAAAGCTACACAGAGTTTTGAGCAAACCTTGGCTGCTGGTGATCTGGGCATGCTGAAGGTTAATAACCACAGCCACTGTCGTGGGAAGGCAGTGGAGAACCTTTTAGTCCTTTTGTGGAAACTGCAAGTGGGCTCTGTCTCGTGCCTCAGAGTCCTGCTGGATGTGTCTCTACCCCTCTAACTGGGGAGAAGGCTGTATTGGGAAAAGGAGGGTCCTGCAGGACCTGCAATGCCTTAAACTACCTGTTATATTTACCCACAAAGTGATTTCAGATTTTAGATATGATGAACTTGAGCCTTACAGGTTTTTTGTTTCCTTTAAGGAATCCAAGTCCAATCTGTGGCACTGCTGGAAGTCACCAGAGCAGGTGAATTTCTGGTTTTGAGCCATGAGCATTGGTAGTAGTTCAAGCCTGATGGTGTAAGGATTTTAAACCTTTTGGGGAATTCTTGCTATCTTTTCAGGTGTAACTCTGTAGGTTATTTTGAGAGGTGTGTTGCTTTATTCATCCTTTGTTTTGCCATCACTTTTGCCAAGGATTGATTATTAATGGATTATTTTATTCAGAGACAAAAAGCGTGAAAAAGCTGGTTGAAAACAAGGGAGCATGTGAGAAGGTGAACACTGCCAGTGCTGTAGCCCACAAAGCTGACCCCAAACCTCAGCTTAAAGACAGGACAGCACAGCAGCAAGGGGTAGAAGGTGCTGGCAAAACACAGAGCTCTAAGAGCTGTCCACAGCAAAAGGACATCGATGCCAAAGCTGTGAATCAACACAATGGTCTTCCCTTCATACATCAAGATCATGCAGACAACCAAAATGCTCCTGCTAAAGCACAGAAGGTGGACAGAGCCCCCGGCCTTGATGAGTGCCACAGGCAGCTTGTTCCTCAGAAAGCTGGGAAGAATGAAAACAAAGCTCCAGCAGCGGGTGCAGCATCCCGGGAAGCTGTGCCCTCCACATCCCGGGCCGTGTCTGACACCGGCTGTGAAGTGACACATACCAGGTAATGACCTTGTGGTGGCTTTCTGTGGGACCTGAAACCTTTCCAGGTGTTACAAGGGAGAAAAGGAAAGCCAGGCCATTAAAGGAGGCAGTTCCTGCATGGTGGGACCTTACAGGGGTTAAGGCAGAAGGCTCAGGGAGCCCTGTGTAAAGTTCTGTGCAGCCCAGGGCTCAGATGGACAGAGGGGTTTGAGCTATCAGCACTTCTGTGTGCTGACCACACAGAGGAGTCCAGGTGGTTATAAACCACTCCCTCAAACCACTCACTCCCTCCCAGCTGGTTGGTTTCTACAGCCATGGGGATGAAAGGAACTTGAGCTTATTAGTGTATGTCAAAACAAGAACTTGTGTTTGTTGTCCTCAGTGTTTTCAGTGTTTTGGTCACCTAAAGATTGTTCATTTATTATTCTCTATTGGATTAATATGCTCCTCATATAGGTGTTTCCTAGTCCATTTTCCTCTGGATTATTTATCTAGGATTTATTTTAATCCCATTTATTTAAAATTTAAAAAGGCCACACAACAGAAAACAACAAAACTCCACAACCAAAAGACCCCTCCCAACTAAACCCAAACGAATGGAACTTCTGTGGCAGATTTTAACTGCCAGTACCTTCTCTGTCTGGGTGGGTGGCTGTAAAGTGGTTTATATGTGTGTGTGGGGGGGGTGACAGACACTCATCCATACACATCCACAAATGTATGTATGACTTGGGGTGGGGAATTTCTCCATTGTTCATGTGTACAAATTTGGTGTCTGAGCCCCAGATTTTGATTTGGGGATGAAGGAGGCCAGCAGGTAAGTGGAAGGCAGAAGCTGGAGTAAACCCCAGAGGCAGTTGCAGCCCAGGGCATTGTCATGGTTTGGAGTGTGAAGTCACATGAGCGTGGTAAACACCTCTCTAAAATGGATGTGACTTTTAATGAAGTTTGTAAGCCCACACAGAGGCATCAGAGGAACATTGTGTTCCCCAGCTTGGAGAAACGCCCGAGAGTCCCACTGAGTTCAGGCTTGTCTAGATAGCAGAGGAAGTGTTTACTCAGAGCTGGCTTCAGCTGCTCTCACAGCTCACACCAGAGCAGCTTAGATCCAGCACAGCACCAGGGTGTTAAAGTGCAGAAAAATGAGACATTTCAGACTCTTGTTTCACAAAAGCAGAAACATTTTCTTCTATAACATCTTTTGTAATGAGGTTGTTCCACCAAAAGAGGCAATTATCTCTGTGAAAATGAGGTATGTTCTCTCGCAGACATCAGAAACTGTCTTCATTTGCCATTGTGTAAAATCTGCTTTACCTGCTTCACAAGTTTCAGTTCAGCCTCGCTAAAATCAGACTGCTCATGACAGTTGGAGCTGTAACAGTTGACTCAAACATTATCACTCAAATATCTTTGATGGAGTTTAGGAGCACAGAGAATTGATTCTAACCTGTATTCTTTTTAGGCAGCACAAGAGGGAAAAATATTAATTAAACTTTTCCAGTAGTTAAAATGCCAAGGAAAACAGTACTGATGGAGTGAGAGAGTTTGTCAAAGTTTGGTTTTTAAGAGAAGGCTGTGGAAAGAATGCTATCCCATCAGAAGACCCAAACACAGATGGCTGAGTGTGCAGGTCAGCCAGCTGAAAGAGGATACAAACCATCAGATTTGTGGAGGCATATGAGCAGCCAGCCATTTAGCTAATCAGCCTGTAATTTGTGAAGGCAATCACTATCCTCTCTCTGCCCAGATGATGATGTTTTACTAGACCAACCGTAATAATTGCAAAAAGTGGGTAAGTTTTCAAATGTGGGATTAACTCTTTGCAGGGTGAGGCATTTTGTTCAGCAGAAGGGCAGACATGTAGAGAGATGAGGACACAGAGAAAGAACCAACATGCTTTTTGGTGCTCTCCCCTTAGTGTTCATAGGTTGTTCCCAGCAAGATTGGTGCAGTTAGGTCTTATCCATACTATAGAAGTGTTTGGGTTTGGAAAAGTACAGATTTTTCTTCCCCAAAATTACAAAATCCAGCTGGCCACCTGCATCAATATCAAATGTCTCCTGTTTGCTCTCCAGGATATCCATCAGTGTACATATGACTGACATGAAAGAAAAGACTGAGATGGCCAAGGAGGGAAATGTAAGTGACAGCAGAGGTAAAAGTTCCAAAGTGAAATCCACACCAGCGGACTTGAAAGGAGTCAAGCCTGACAAATTAAAACTTCAACAGGGTCCTAAAAACATCAGCTCCAAGCCAAATTCAGAAGTTAAAGGGGACAATAAGCAAGATGAACTTGCACCTCAAACAGGGAAGCAAAAGCCATTCCTGAGCAAACCCAAACCAGGTGAAAAAGCTGAAGAGAAATCAGAATTAAAATGCGAGCCCATAACCTCACAGAATACCTCTGCAAGGGAGCCTGTGAAAGATGCAGGGGTAAAAGTGAAAATCCATCAAGAAACAGCAAAAGCAGAAAAATCCCCAACAGATACCAAGTCTGAGAGGAGGGAATCTGAGACTGCAGGGGGAAGCAGACACGATGCTCAGCAGTGTACAGGAGTGGCACCAGAAAAGACCAAGTCTCTGGCAGCTGGCAGAGCTCTTCCCACTCAAGGAGAAATCATTGGTAAGTTGCTCACAGTTACTCCTGAAACTTGTGTGTTGAGGATTTTGTGCTATTCCTTCCTGTTGTGTAGACAATAAGAGCAGGAGCAGTGCTCAGTGATAACCCATGTCTTACACTTCAAGGGCATTTTGTATTGAGTACCTTTGACTATGTGACTAACAATTCACAGATTCTTTTAATAGTAAGTTTCCTTTTAAAGTGTGTTTTGGGGAAAAAATAATTTAAAATAGCATTAAGTGTATGTGTGATGAGAAGTGCGAGAATTTTGAAAAAAATCATTTTCTTTACATGAAGCATTTGTCCCTTCAGATAGAGTGTGCAAACCAAGCACACTTTAGCAACTGAGCACAGAAAAGTACTGCAGGAAATGTTTCTTGTTGCTGCCTGTTGTGTTATTGGCCATGGATCTCTTGATTCCTGAGGGAACACTTGGGTGCTTTGTCTCAGGGTATGCTTTGTTTCTCTCCTGGCAGCACATGTGTGTGTACATTCCAGAATGTACAGACATGGGCAGATGACCTGACTGCCCTGGCATTCTGAGCAGGGGCTGCAGATGAGTTGAATACATGTTAAATTGCAGCCTGAGATACCTGGAGATTAATTATAAAATTGCTTTTACTGGGGGACATAAAAAATGGGTTTAATGAAGCTTTACCCTAGAAAGCCTTGGATATTAAGTGATCACAGTTAACTAATTTAGCTTACCACAAACAGACTAAACTTAGTAGTTGTAATGCTGATAATTTTAGATTTAATTTGGAAATTGTCTGCAAAATTCTTGCTGCTAAGAGGAGCCTCATGATTTTATCAATCACTGCCCTCATTCCTCAGTGCTGTGTATTTCTGCTGGTTTTTCTGGCTGTCACATAACAATTAAAAGATAAATGTAATTTTTTTCAAACTTTTGAATAGTAATTTCTGGTGGCCCTTTCTGTTAATGCATAAGCTAAGATGTTGTTCTCCTAAAGGTGTCCAGTGGGTTAACTCCTTTAAAAAAACCAGAGTGGAGGTTCAGGAGGTGGGATGCCGATCTCAGTTCTGGGACTGTGTTCCTTGTCTGTAAAAGGCATTTAGCAGCGAAAGCCCCTCACACCCTGTGGGATGAAATCCGTGGTGTGAGGAGGTGGAAGAGGGCAGTGATGAGTGCAGACATGTCAGTGAGCAGCCTGTCTCCCCTGCAGATGACAGCCCCTCTCCTCCAGCTCCTTTCGAGCACCGCATCGTGAGCGTCAAGCAGGCGGAGGTGACCACGAGCTACTCCGTGTGTCGTCACGAGGTGCTGGGGGGGTAAGTGTGGCTGTCCCCACTGTGCTGTGCTGCTGGGGAAAGGCAGCGAGCTGCAGGCTCTGCAGCTGGCCCCAAGCTGTGTGTGTGAGGGACAGACTGCAGCCAGAGGGGCTGGGTTCATCCTGGAGCCCTTTGGGTGATCACAGCTGCTCCTGCATCAAGGATGTCCCTTAGATGGCTGGTTTCTGCCCCAGCCCCATTTTCAGATGCCTCACTGCCATCCTGGTGACTGTTTTTTTCATTTGTTTTAATAATCATGGCCTCAGTGTTGTGAGAAGAACCTGCAACCTTAAGGCAGGCAGATTCAGAGCATCTGAAAAGTCAACAAAGCCTATTAGGTCAGGCAGCTTCCAAAATCTTTTTTTGTTCTGTGCTGAGCTGCAATTACAGAAAACTAAGGAAGAGTTATAATTATTTTGACCTTATGTTTAGTTTTCACTCATAGGAAGTCTGCAGCTGCTTCAGCTTTTGTATTCTTGTATCCTTATGTGACAAGAAGGCTTGATTTCCACATTGATCCACATACAAATATGGCTTAATAAGTATAAGCAATGTGATGCAACAGCAGGAAAGATGGTGCTTAGGAATCATCCCAAGGGGCATTAACATATCTGTGTGACATGGAGGAGAATTTACAGCACGCCAGAAATGCAGGCTGTGGAGTGGCTACAGTTACTGGTCTTATGGTCATTTAAAAAGTTCTGGGATCAGGACAGAAATACCCTTGCTAGTAGACCCACTGACATATCCCTGAAGAACAGCAAGGGGGTCCAGTTACAGAAAGGAGCCAGAGCATGGCCAGGCCATCATGCCTCAGCAGGACCAACGGGGCTTAATATTTTAATGTAAGCACTGAACAACTGGCTGGAAAGATAAAACTAATCCTTCATAAGCTGAGAGAAAGAGGAGCTCTGTGCTGCTGGCCACCCGACTCCGTTCACTTTGTACTGGGCTATTTTTGCTCATGATAAGAATAGTTCCAGGAGAGGTTTCAGTGCTGAGCTGCTTTCCCATCTTTCCCATCTTTTCCTTGGATCCACAGGGGGCGTTTTGGGCAAGTCCACAAGTGCACGGAAATATCGACGGGGCTCAACCTGGCAGCCAAAATCATAAAAGTGAAAGGAGCCAAAGAGAAGGTAACCATGCTGCTGGGAGCTCTGACCCTGCCCTCCCTGCCAGGGCCAGCACCCCTGCCCCGAGCTGCCCCATGAGGAGCAGCTCATCCTTGGGTACCATCAAATACTGCAAAATCTTGGACTTGCTGTGACTCTTCATCATCTCCTGTATTCATGATTAAACCCACAATCCCCTTGAGATTTGTGCTGTAGCTGTTGTTGGGCTTTATAAATAGTTCTGTTTTGGTATGTTGAAATTCAAGGAGTCAATTTTGCTCATTTTTTGTTACTTTGTTATTTTTTTTCAGGAGGAAGTAAAAAATGAAATTAACATCATGAACCAGTTAAATCACGTGAATCTGATCCAGCTTTATGATGCTTTTGAAGCCAAAAATAATATCACTTTGATAATGGAATAGTAAGTTTAAATGATCTCAGGAACTGTCAGGTGTTGGGGTTTTCTCAGGTCACTAAAGCAAATAGGGAATGATAATTCTGAGCTGTGAAGAAGTGAGTGGTTTCCCAGCCTAAGAGAGAGTTGATCTCACTTTCAGAAGGAAAAAACAATGTTTTAAAGGTAATTTCTTCAGGGTAAAAGCTTGTCAGAGCTTTACCTCTGAGTAATTTTTTCTTCTGTGCCGAATTAAGTTCAGTTGTCAGCTCATGTGAAACAGCTTTCAGTTTGGGAAGTTCCATTTGGTAAATTTTGTAGGTTGAAGACTTATTTTCCCATGACTAGTAAGATGAGAGAATAGCAGACACTTCAGTACTCCCTGTAGGTTCTCCAGGTCCCATAGGATCACTAGATCATGTGAGTTTGGGCTTTACATATATCCTACCAAATACTATTGCCAACTTTCCCATTTTTGAATTTAGATTGAAACTTAATTTCAAGAGCAGTAAGTCTCTTGAAGTCACTGAGGCTGCTGATACACTTTGTATTGGATGTTTTGTTAGGACCCTCAATTACAGAGCCTAATTCCTAACCTGGAAATAAATCAGGTTAATGCAAGGTTTTAGGGTTTTTAATGCTTTTCTGTGTGAAAATTTCAGTCTTGATGGTGGGGAATTATTTGACCGGATCACAGATGAAAATTACCATCTGACAGAGCTGGATGCCATCCTGTTCACCAAACAGATTTGTGAAGGAGTCCACTACTTGCACCAGCATTACATTCTCCACTTAGATCTGAAGGTCAGTTGTTTGTGCTCTCTGTGCTTTAGTGGTGCTGCTTTAGGCACCACAGAGTCTCTGATTACTGAGGAGTAATTTCCCATTTCATGGACTCACTTTGTAAAGGAATAGAATTAATAGCTGCAATGAATGGAGCTTTAGAGATTGATTACTTTTTTCCAATGTCTGTTCAGTAGCTTGCTTGGAATCATCAGGATCCCTGGGCTTTTGCCTGTCTTAAATAAGAAGTTCTTCATTCTCTGTAGCATTAAACAATCCCCTTTTATCATGGATGAAAAAAACCCCACCCAAAACCTCCTTGGCTAGAAATGCCCACAGTCTTCCCTCTATTTCCCCTACCCTTTTTTAACAGTGTACAAATACCTGTTCAGTCATCTTCTATAGTTTGTACTTTTTACTGCCTGGAACCAACCTGCAGCAAAATTGCAATGTTTTCCTAATGGTCCCTTAATAATGGATATTTTTAAACAGAAATACAGACTGTTTTTTTCCTGCCTGTTTATATAGCACCTTACATTTAATGACATTAAACCAGGCTGGCTCATAGGCAGTTCTGCAGCTGGATCCAATCAACCCCTACATCCCCACCTTGAAAAACATTCTCATTGGGAAAGTAATAATTTTGGGTGCATTTGATCTGTTTTTTGTGGCATTTTATGGAGGGAATTTTATACTGTCTTTTGTAGATATCGCTCTCAAACATTTAACTCAAAATACCCTCTTCTCTTTTTGTAGCCTGAAAACATACTATGTGTAAATCACACAGGAAACCAGATTAAAATTATTGACTTTGGATTAGCAAGGAGGTAAGAAAGTTCAGTTGTGAATTATTTTACAAAACAAAACCAAATCAAAATCACCAAATCAAATCTCTGATATGTTTCTGGTAGTTCTTTGGTGGGGGATTGTGTTTTGATGGCTCTGTAATAATTCTGTGTGAATAAGTTAAGCATTATGCTTTTGCAGGCATGAGCTTTCTGCTGTGTGCATTAATTATCTAATTACTTTTTCAAATAACATTTCTCTTGGATAAAGCTTTACTACTGCTCTAATTATCTCAAAATTATTCCCCATATAGAGCTTTTACTCTAGGGACTCTGTGAAGGCTCCCAGAGACTTCTTGACTGCAGGGTTTCATGGTGCAGGTTCTAATTGTAGAAATGATCTGCTAAACTCTCTAAGTAGCTACACTGATTGAAGGAAAAAAAAAGGAAAAAAAGCATATTTGAGCCATCCCATGTGAAACAGGAAACCCTCAGAAAAATAGAGACTTTTCTCCAGTCTTTTACTTTGCTTGCATGAGTTTAAAGAAAAGCAGTGAGAGCATAGGTCAATTGCCTTAGAATAAAAAGGAGATATTTCTATTATTAGGACAATAAGAACAATAATATTTCTCTAATTATTTTCTAAACCCTTTAAGATTTTCCTTCAGCTAAAAGCTGGTACATTCATGCTTATATATATATTTATGTGCTTGTATATAAGTGTCTGTTCAAGGACTTTGTCTCCATAAAATACTTGTGAAAGAAAAAAAATGTACATTGAATTTGGGTTTTTTTTTTGGCTGGTTTTTAATTTGGGAGGGTAAAGATACAAGCTTCTACTGAAGCAGTTTTGGGAACAAGATCATCCAGGAGAAAGAGATTTCCAAGCAATGCTGTAGTGGTTTGTTCTGTCTGAACACAGATGTGAGTCCAGCTGCTGTCAGTGGCAATTGTTACTGGTTCAGTTTTGTAACCTTTCCCTGTTTTGCAGTAGCAAAAATAATAATAATTTCCCCCTATATGGGGTCACTGTTACTTGGTCCCAAGCCCAAATAATCCTCTTCAGTCCCACTTCACTTACATTGTGTTCATATCTGTGATGCAGATGCTCACCCTGAGCTGTAGCTGGGGACATCCCACTGATCAAATTCTCTCCAAATCTTGTATAGTCAAAACTGCCTCATTTGTTTAATGGATTTTGGACAACATCTGCTGGAAACATCCTCTGCTACCTGGCTGCTCCCACTCTTTGGGGGAGCCCTTTGCAGGATTTAGTGTCCTTGTTCTTCCTGCTGGCTTTGCTGTGGCAGAGGGACAATGATGGAATATTCCCCTGAGCTCAGCCCAGTGCTGCCCTGGCTGCTGGGCTCTCGGCTCTGCTCCTCCCAAAAGCTGTGCCTTGCTCTTCCCTTGGTGGGATCAGCTCCCCAGCTCCTGACTCGTGGCTCTTTTCCTGGTACAGGTACAAACCCTGTGAGAAGCTGAAGGTGAATTTTGGGACTCCGGAGTTTCTGGCTCCCGAAGTGGTGAACTACGACTTTGTTTCCTTCCCCACGGACATGTGGAGTGTGGGTGTCATCACATACATGCTGTGAGTGCTCCAGGGGCCCTGCAGGGCAGGGTGCAGCAGCCTCTGAGCCCATCTGGCTGTGACCACTCCTCATGAATTCTGTTAAAGCCCCCGCTTTCCATGCACAGACACCTCTCTGTGTCCAAAATGTCTAAACAACAAATGAACTCTTTGATAAATATGTAAATGTTTTTCTCCCTTATCATCGTAGCAAAGTAAAATAAATGGGTCAGGTCTTTTTTTTTTTACTCTGAAAAGTTGCCCAAATATGTGAGAATTTAAATTTTGATTGTGTTTTTGAGGACTTGAATTAACTTTTAAATTTGTAATCAGATAATTTTATAATTTGGTGTGCATCTGCTCAGGAGAATTAATATTGTCTGTTGGGCCATGGGTCTAAGAAATGACCTATCATGAATAGGCCTAAAACTTTTCTCTGATATCTGGGTGGCAACCATGGACAGCTTGTCTGTCCAGAGTCTCTACCTTCTGATGAGCTTGTTTTGCATTCCAGAATCTTTCACAGACGTTTTCTGTGAACTGGATAAATTTCTGGTTTAAATTTGTATGTTAGCCAAAACCCATCTCTATGAAGTAATAAATGATGGAAGCAATAAAGATGGGCTTAGAGACTAACTGTAAAAAATAATTTTTTTCTCAGAATTCTGTTTAATTAAAGCCACATAAGGATGTGGGGCCCAATTTGGGAAAGCTCTTGAGTCCCTCTAGCTTTCCTGTCTGGGAAAGCACTGGAGAATGCACCTAATTCCTCACTGAATCCATTCCCTGGGGATCTGTTAATGGTGCTCCCTGACCTGAGTGAACTGCTAGGGGGTAACACTAAATTACAACATTTAATTGCCCCTAACTGTTGCCTTATCATGGCAGAGACTGAGAAGTGGAATCCTCCATAGCTGAGAGCTTTTCCCTCCATAAGATAGCAACAGTTACAAAGCAGAAGATTCATACAAGGAAAAACACACCCTGCACCTGATAACTGCTCTTCTCCCCCAACCCCATCTTTCTTTTTTTAAGGCTTAGTGGCCTGTCCCCATTCCTGGGAGAGACTGATGCAGAGACAATGAATTATGTAGTCAATTGCAGCTGGGATTTTGATGCAGAAGCATTTGAACAGCTCTCAGAGGACGCCAAAGACTTTATTTCCAGACTGCTTGTGAAGGAGAAAAGGTACCTGGGTCTGATTGTGAGAACAGTGGCACCAATGATATTAAATTCTTACCAGCCAATTGTTTGGATTGCAGCCAACAATGAGAACTTACTATGTGACATTTTTGTGTGCTGGCTCTGGGCTTGCTGGGCACCTCCTCAGCGATTCAGAAGCCCCTGTTTTAAAGGAAAGTGTCTGTGTACCCTGACTGAGGAAAGTTGCTTTTCACAGTAGCATCAATGCAGGCAGAACACAGGAAATCTGGAAGGATTTGCAGTATAGAAATCTGTCTCTAAAGATTTTGCTTCTCTGAGCAAAAACTATTTCTATTGTTAGTTTGGACTGTCACAGGCCTTGACAGAAATTGCAAAAATGCCTCTTGAATGCCATGGAGGATAAATGGAAGCTGCAGCTGTGAAAATATGCATTGTTGTCTACAGGCTTTTGGGAGACATTAGGGAGCATTTGGGACTCAGCTCAGCTTGTGGCTTCTCATTCTTGGCTCTGCTGGGATAAAAAGTGATTGCACATGTGAAACAATGCAGAGAATGAGGATCAAACTGCTGTCAGACCACGGCTGGGGAGTTGGCTGGGTACAGAAATTTTTCTCTTGCTGAGTAGTGATACAAAACTAATCAAATCAGGAAATGATGCTTACAGTGAAACAGATTGTGTGTTTGAGGGGAATTCAAAGGAGTGCTTAGAATATTAACAACTTCCAGATCATTACCTAAATCAGACAAATCAGTTCTAGTACTAATTCTATTTTGAACAATAGGTTACTATGAAAAACAAAGAATTAGCTGAAATTTAGCATATTGCCAGCAGGAGAGATCTAAGGATTTTTACTCAGACTGTAATGATGATTTGGTGTGAGACTGTAAACTTTGGAGTCTTCAATTTTTCTGTGCAATGGGATTAGGGTATCCAGAGGGACCCTCTGCAAAATCGGGCTAGAAGCTGTGAATGAAATGAGTATGTGAGAGAAGAGTGTTGTCAGTGAGTTGCAGAGAGCAGTGATTAGCTGGCCCAGTTGTTCACAAGGTGTGTGCAACCTCTGCTCTCCTGCAGCCCAGGCACCTTTGCCCTGCTGGGACAGTGGGTCTGGCCTTGGGCAGGATCTGCAGCCCCCTCTCCTGACTGCTGAAATTGGGGTGAGCAGGCAGGAGCTTCCTTTTCATCAGCTCAGTGACAGCTCAGACAGAGCTCAGGAGTTAGACATAGGCTTTTGATTTGAAAAAAAAGCAAATTAAACCTTTTCCCCCAACATCTCTACCTCAAGATTTCCTCTCTTATCATATATTTCCCAAACCTTTTAGGATGGGCTGTGGTATTTGGGCCCATTGTTGGATGTCAGGATATTAAGTATGCTTAGCTTGATCCAAGTTTAGGGCGAATAGACAATTGTGCTTTTTAAATATGAGGTACAGAATATGCTTTTTAAATATGAGGCACAGCTTGTGCTGTCAAGACAGACAGATAACGCCACAAATGTTACTTTTCTGTTAGCAAAGTTCTGAATTTGCATAATAAAGCGATGCATTACCCATGAACTGAAGCCCAGCTCAGGCGCGGCACTGCAGAGCCAGCAGCAGTCCTTCATCCCACTCACCCCTCCTGCTGGAGAGTGCGGGATGCTGTTAGCATCCCCTGCACGGGCATTTGCAGTGGTGTTCATTCACTTGAGGCAGTGTCTCCATCCCTAACAAAGAGGAGCACAGGGCCCCAGGAGGGGAGCAGAGGGGCTGGCTTTTCACGGAGATCCCTCCCTGCAGCTGCCGGATGAGCGCCACGCAGTGCCTGAAGCACGAGTGGCTCAACAACCTCCCTGCCAAGGCCCAGAAGTGCCAGCGCCGCCTGAAGTCCCAGCTGCTGCTGCAGAGCTACATGACCCACAGGACATGGAAGGTAAATAACGCTGCTTCCACAGGGATCAGCACAGCACAGGCACAGCCATTCCCTCCTCTTGTGCTCACTGGTGCCCACAGGCTGCTTGGTTGTAAGAACCAGCTGTGAAGTCTGTTTGTACCTGTAAAGGAAGTGTTTTGTCCTGCTTCTATCTCTTGCAAGTTTGGTTTCAATTTTCACGCTGATTGGTGTTTAGAAGTTTTTTGCATCTTTCTTTCTACACGTTCAAAAACTTCAGATGCAACTTTATATTAAAAGTTCATTATCTTTATACTTTTTCCATTGCTAACAGTTGCATTGATTTGTTGTCACTAAGGAGTAGGGATATAATTTAAGGCAGTTTGTGCCTCCAACTGCAAAATGGGAGTGTGGGAGAGAGGAAAAAAAAACTAGGCTTAAAGCCATTGAGAGAACTCTTCAGGATCTTACTGATAACCCCAGGCTCCTTCTGAACTAAGTTTTTATGAAGTGATAGGTAATAATTTGTGTTTGAGTCTCTATTTGATTGTAGATAATTGATCCTAAAAGGTGAACATGGCAATCTCGTTAGAAAGAAGCCTGTGGAATTGTGAGGCAAGTTCAGTGAGGACCATTTCCTTCCCTTCTGTCACTGGGGAGTTGCATTTCCTTGCCAAGGAGTTAAACCAGAGGCTTACACTTTTTTCAGGCCTGCAGTGCTTGAGGCAAACTTCTGCATTTAAAAGATGACAAAATCTGAAGACCTATCACTGTTCAATTCATAGTAACACTGAAGAACCTCACAGTGCTGTGCAGGAACCACTGCCCACACAAGCTGGGGGTCACTAGAGGGAAATGGGTTTACCAGGAAGAGAAATCCCTGTCAGCTGCAGAAAAATTCCTTTGCCTTGATTGCACTCATGCTTGGACCGTTCTGTTCTATTCACAGAAACACTTCTATGTGGTGGCTGCTGCTAACAGGCTGAAGAGATTTCAGAGTATGTCTGTCAAGCTTTCATGAGCTTGTGTGAAACCTCCACCACTCCTGGAGATGGACTTGAGACCATGGAAGGAGGACTCGGTGTCTCCAAACATTTCTATCCCCGTTTTATAACGGAATGTTTTGGGACTGTCTTCCTCAATTATTTTGTGTGTTAGTGCTGTGGTTCCAGAAGAGCCTTAAGGAAGAAACACAAGATTTCTAAAAGCAGAAGCTACTTGGTTTGTTTTTACAAGTTTTTAGTTGTTCTATACAGTGGTGGAAAAACGTGGCTGTCACTGGGGCTGACTTCTTGCTGAAGGCTTTGATTCTGCAGAGTATTGATGGTGTATTTATGGCAGAAAACCCCTGGCAGTTTTCTGCTCTCTCACACCAAGCATGGGATCTCTAAAGACTTTCTTCCAGACTGATGTTTCTGAGCTACCAGTTTTAGGGAACTGCCACACAGTGGCACAACTTGTCCCTCAGGTGTTTGTTACTTAAAACAAAAGATACATTGTTTTCTTCTGTATTTGTTTCCAAAAGGTAATTTCCCCACATCATGAAGATGCTTCAGTGCAACTCCAGCTTGGGTGGTTTTGGTTTGTTTGTTTTTTTTTGTTTTGGGTTTTTTTTTTTTTTTTTTTTTTATTATTCTACTCTCTCCTTTAAAAAATAGTCACTGCATAGTTAGGAACTATGAGGAACCTTGGTTTGAAGTAACTTAAGTCAATCCATTGCTGCTGTTTCTTAGGGCAAGTTGAATTGAGCCGAACTAATTGAACTTCTGGAAGGAGAGGTGTGAAACTGCTGTGCATACAAATCACCTAATGACTGATGGGTCTGTGTAAAAAGATCTCATGTTGTAGAGAAAAGAGGAAAGTTCCAGGGATTTTATGTTTTTAAAACTTGAGCTTTTCATTGTCCATGACTGCAGCACTTAAGTTGCTAAGTTATAGTTTGAGGATTTGTTTCTCCTCTGGAAATTTTAATGCAGTATGAGAAGCTGGTATGGTGTGACATGCAAAACAGGTTTCATTTCTAATAGGTTCAGTGACAGGGAGACAGTGTGTTGCCAGACTCTGCCTTTAGTCCAGTTAGAAGGTTGAAGCCCTTTGAAACCCTTTTTTCCCCTCTCACTTAGCTCTTGAACATTAAACCTTTTCTTCACAATATTAACTTATTTTGGATTTTAAACTCTTTTATTATGCATAAAGTGGGAGTCACAGTCTCTCAGATAAAAGTACAACACTATTTATTAAACCAGTGATTTCCTCTTCTGGATTCTGCAAAACTCAGTGTGAACTGGATGGGCTTTTGGGAAAAATAGAGATTAGTATTACTAAAAGTAGCTTTCCAGCAAAGGCACCTGTAAAGTTCCTTTGAACTTTATGGACTTTCACACCCCTTGAATTTGCAGAAGTGTTGGTTGCTAATGATGAGGTTTGTAAGACTGCCTTACTCTGGTCTAGCTATCTTTTCCACTCAAGTGCTTCTCACTTTGCATAGTCCTGTCTTCTGCAGCATTTCCAGAATTGGGACAGAGAAGAATCTTGATAATTTATGACCTTCTATGAAGGCCCACTGTTGTTCATGTTTGCCTTCCACAGTGTTTCTGCATGCTGAATGTCGTTGTATTCATTGGTCTGTATATTTCTGAATTAATACTAATAAATTTCATGAAAGTGGAACAAGAGTATTCATCAACATTGGTTTAAGCCCTGCTGCCAAGCAAACCTGAAAGTATTTCTGGGTGGGTCCAGAGATACAGGCCAGAAAGAAAACATGCAAGAGAAATGGAACAAAGACTTCTTCTCTAAGCTTATGACTGTGAGACATAAAAAATCTGTTACCCAGTCAACATCCTTTTCCTCTGGATATCTTCATTCTTAAGGCACAGGCATCTCCTCCATGTTTCTTATTTTGTATTCCAAGTACCTGTGCCAGCCAAGAAATGTCATAATACAAAGCTTTTCCTGCCAGTACTTATTGTTTCTTGGAATATTTGGGACCCTACAAAAGCAGAAGTGATTTTGTTCCTATACATGTGAAAATAAATCAGATTCATTGACTGAACAATGTTTATTTAAAAAAGCCCAAAAAACTAAAAAAAGAAGGCTTTATTTCTCTGCTGACTTTGCAGTTTAACAAGGCACTATTAGTCCCCTTCCTCTTATTTCACTGATTGCTTCTGGGCAGGGGCCCAAGGGCCTGTAACTTATGACTTATTTACACTTAAAGTAGCATTAGAATGTTACCTGCTTCTTGCAGCAAGAGAATGAAGCTATTCTACCCCTAATGCCAGAGCCTGGTGAGCAGTCACATACACACTTCCTGTAAAATCCCATCACGCCGTGGTGTCATTTATTAAAAATAACAGTCTTAAATACTTAAAACTTAAATAAAATCAGCTGTCTGCCAGGCAGCCACCATTCACATGCTACTGGATCTCTTGTTAAAGCAGAGGGAGAGTTAAAATTAAGAGCAAGCAGCAGTTACATTACTGGCTGGCGTTACAGAGTCAGTACTCCTTGTCTCTTGTGCCTTAGCAGCATTTTCCAGGATTTTCTTTTTCCATTCCTCATAGTCCTGATTTGTTTCAGTCTTTAGCTGTTTACATGGAAGTTCCTCGTCCTCTTCAGAGCCTGTGAGGAAACAAGAAAGCCCGTGAGAGGCCATCATGGGCAGCATGCTGCTGGGGGTAACAGGCAGTGAGTAATCAGCAGGAGGGGGCTGTCCCTGTGCTATCCAATCCTGTGGGTACTGCTGCCCTCACCTGCTGGGACAGTCACCTCTGCACCTCTGTGTCTGAACACAGCAGCTGTCCTTTCTACTGGGACTACTCAGTGGGAGCTCCTCTGTCCTGCCACCTGGCTCTGTGTGCTTCCACAAAGTTTGCAGGATTGAGAGCTGCTGTGTGCTGGAGCATCGTGGCCATCACACAACTCAAACGCTGAGCAGCAGGAAAGCTCAGAACTACTCCAGTGAGGTAATCTTCACTCACAGCTAAACACAACTTACCATCTTCCTGCTCACACTGCTCCAGGGTGCTCTGCAAGCTGTCAGGTGTCTCTGCAGCCAGTGGAACATCTTCTAAAAAAACAAGTAAGTTGTTTTGCTTGTGAATGGTATTTGGGGCTCCAAGGATGGCTTAAATGTGAATCTTTGACAGCAGTGCCACCTTCCACAAGTACTATTGTCCAGTCAGAGCAGTTCCCTGGTCCAGACTGATGCTCAAGCTCTACAAGTGGTGCCAACACTTCAAGTATGGCATGGACTGACTGGCTGCTTTAATTAGCAGCAAACTGCTGCTGCATTGGTAACCACAATGATGCACCATGTTGATTGCCCCAAACCACACTGCTACCCTTTTAGGTCCCTCAGGCAGGATTATCAATTATTTCTTTCCCTTCTATTCCATTCCCACTATTTTCATAAATACCCACAACAGGCTGTGCAGTTATACAGATGCACAGTCTTCCCTGAATTCTTCAGGAAATTCCCAGTTGTCTTTAGTTGCTTTAATGCTGGGCTAATGTTTGGGTTTTTATAGGGCACATGCCTAAGAGAAAGTAGGAGCTTTTGGGGTACATTCAGGCAGCATGTTGCAGAAAACATCAGGGTATGAAGAGACAGTGAGAGGATAACTTTCAGTGGGAAAGTAAAAAATGAAAGTTTGGGAAAAGAAAAAGGAGAAAGAGGAGGCAGCAGAAATACAAGGACTTTAGGGAACATATTGTATTTCAGGCTTTCTCCCCCATAAAAGGAACAGAGAGAGCTGCAGGCTCAACAATGGGCAAGAAATATTCCTGACATCTGTATGAGGAGGGGTGGTGCCAGGGAATGGCTGAGTTGGTACCAGAACAGCAAGGCTTAAGCTTGTTAATCTTGCAGTGGGGAAAAGGAAAGCACAGGAGTGAGTCAGCCTGAGAAGATGTTTGTGATAATTTGTGTGCCAGGTTACCATGTTAACAGGATGCAGAAACCAGGCAAGAGGGAGGAATCCAAGATAGGTCAGGTAGTATGGGAGAAGCAAGGAATGAATTGCAGCAGCAGAGGCTGTAAAAAGCAGTGAGCATTTGAGAAGAGAGGAAAATATTATTTTTGCCCTTGCCACTTTTCCTGTTCGTTCTTGCTAAAATACTGCAACTTCTCCAGAAGCAAGGACTGGGAGTAGAACTGGGCTGCAGGAAACATGTTAGAATGCAATGGATGGGCAGATTTGGCTGAAATTGATCAGACTGAAATCAGCAGTGGAACAGCATGGGGCACTGTGAGGCCATGGGATGGGTGTGCTGTGTTGCAGGCACAAAGCCAAAAACTTACTGCTGAGTTGCTGGCTTATCTTCTCCAGCTGATTGCAGAGCCGGTCAAATATTGCTTTTTTCACTCCAGATGTGGCCACCATTTTAGTTTTGTCCACTTTTAGCTTCAAACACCTACAAGAGAAAGTTATCTCTGTACAAAGCAACAGTCCAGCAACTATCACTTAGGTGAGGTGATAAATAACTGTACCAACACTGCCTGTGAGAATGAGAAAGGCAGACCTTTTAGTCCCACCTATCCTCGTCTCAGAAACAAATCTGGTTAAAAAACAGACCCCTACACTATTCAGTCAGCACAGCTCAACTGAAACTCAGGATGAGTTGAACTTACATATGGAATTGTTTTAGGAAAAGGTAATTTTTCGGATTTTCAGAGAAATCAGGACAAAATACCACTACATCAAAAAGCTGAATGTGAATCTTTGTCAAGAAAGCCCTTGTCAGGAGCTGTGCAAATACACAGCACCTGTACTGCTGGATAAGACTGTCACAAGGTGTAATCTTTGCATACAAGCAAATTCTTCCCAAATGCTGGCTGAGTCACACACCTCTCTTAGCTGACATGGGCCTACAGCTATCAGAGCCATCTCCCAGATGCTACAGCATCCTCAGGATATGATGGTGTAGCTCTTGCAGTTTTTCCTGCTTCCGAATTGCTGCTTCTTGGTGCTCAGGAGCCCTTATTGTACCTTGAGCAGCATTTCACCAAAAGCCATGTAAGTTTTTGCTTTGTGCAGTGCACATCGAAGACTTCACTATGAGGAAAGGTCTGGTTTGCTCCAGCTGTCTCCCTGTGCAGGAGCAGGGCAGCAGGGTATGCTAAGCAAGACCCTGAATGAATGAGCTGCTGGCACTGAGACTGCTGGTCTCAGCAGGCATTTCCTTTCAGCCTGCAGAAGGTCTCCCAGGCTGCACTCACCTGCAGGCAGTGCACAGAGCAGCTGTCAGAAACAGGGGTTTGGCGAAATCCAGGTCTGCTCGCTGTGCTTCCGAGAGGCTGCACTCATACCTGGGGAACACAAGGGACACCTGAGCATTTGCCTCACAGGAAGCTCTCAAATCCATCTGTCACTCACACCTTGAACAGATCTGTTGGACCACCTGGGCCTCTGCAACCCAGTCAAGCAGAAACAGCTGCTACTGGTGCTGAGAGAAGCAAAACACATGAGGGAAAAAAGGAGGTTGGGATGACCTTGTCTTCTGGAATTAGAGGTATTTTAAACTGGGGATCTGGATCAAAGCATATCAGTAAAATCTACTTCTTGTGCTCCTGATCAACACAGCACTTTTAGCTCTCCCTAACATCTTAAAATTTACAGCGAGATGCTTTCTATGCATCCTACAATAGAAGGCAGCATTACAGTTTCTTTGATTCCTGGAATATGTATGTTACAGATAAATAGAAAATGACAAAGTGGATGCGCAGCACTGAAAAATGTCATTTTTTTATTGTCCACCTGCCCCAGGCTATTTTTTCCCAGTTTGTATTAAGTGCCACCAAGCAGGCACAGCCTTTGTGCACTGACCTAACAGCATTAAACCTGTGCTATCAGGGTGACAGCACTGCAGAGCAGAGCTCTTTTGGGACTGCTCTGCTCAAAGCAGCTCATACAGAATGGAACATGCTGAATTTCCCCTGAAATGTTCTACCTATTGGTATTACAGATAGAGTAATGTGCATTTTAGGAGATGTGTATCCCCAAAAGGGAGGATTTATTTCTACTGAGCATTACTTCTGAACTGTGCCATGATCAGCAGTTAAATGGATGACAGTGTGATGCTATGGGCAAATATAGAGATTAAGAGTCCTATATTTTTTACACTATTCCCAGCTGAAAAATTCCTAGTTGAACAATCAGTTGCTGAGATTCACAGACTAAATCTTTCTAACAGGTATTCTAAAAAATGGCCCAGCTCATGGCTGGATTCTCAGTGCTAAGAACTCATCTCAGTGCTCCAATGAGGAGATATCTGGCCCTTCCAAACATCAAGCTCTTTACACACCTAAGGAGCTAAAAACCTTACTTGTGGTTCCCAGTGTGCCCACAAGAGCTTCCTCACCTCTGCAGGATCTCTGAAGCCAAGTTCACTGCCTCTGAGCAGCAGAACTGCACAGCCAAGTCTCGCATCCCCAGCTTTTGGTTCACCCCTAGCAAACACTCCAAAGACTTCATGGAGCTCTGGTAGGTGGTCTTGTTCAAACCAGAGAGTTTAACACAATAGCTCTGTCAAGAAGACAAAGACAAGCCCCAAGAATTAGCAAGGTTCTTTTCTGACATCTAAATCAGGCAACCAACACAAGCACTAAGTTCAGCTGCTACATTAAACAAATTTGTGCAATGAATAATGTATGTTTTGACTGCACA